TAAACAACCCGTATGGTAAACCTGCACACCGAGTTTATTGGGCATCTTCAAATGGTCACTCTTGACATAAATGGAGCATGAAGACTTGAAGAGTCCAAGACCTGGTCTTATTTCCACACAGAAAAATGTCGTGTGGATGACTAGCTAGTTTGAGAATTTCTTGCACCGTGTTTGGCGCAGAATTATCAAGTCACAAACCAATGCAAATTTCAGTCTGAACTTCCAGGTGAGAATCAAATTTACCTTCGTTGAAAAGGGTGGCTCTTGGTGTATTTTAAAGAATTACTTCGTTTCCAAGCTAGCTGGTAGTTGGTCAAGACTTGAGCCTGTTTTTGTCTTTAACAAGTTTTTCCTAGACTCTTTCGTTTACAAAAATCTGAACCAACCAACTATTCGTGCAGTGCTTCAACGAACACCCTACAAATAACCCAGAAACTTAAGTGGAAAAAAGAACAACATGCTTGGAAGTTGGAGAGAAATAGAACAAAAGCTTTAAAAATTAGTGAAAGAAAGAGAAGGGGAAAAAAGAGAAAAGAAAAAGAAAACATCTGAAGATTTTCACATTATATTTTTCTCGCTAAGAATGATCATATGAGTGGAGGTAATTTGTGATTTTCATTTCTTAACCTTGGGAAGATGAACCATTGGGTTTCACAAACAAAAGTTGATTCTCTCATTTCTCTTTTTCCTCTTCCCGCTCGCATGTCAAAACTGCTAAACACTTTTTCTTTTTCTTTTTTTTTTTTAGAAAATGTTTACCGACACGTTATTAGAATTAATTCATTTTTAGAATGAAAACAAAAAGGTGCATTTGCTCTCAAGAAAACTTCAGAAGCAAAGTATTGTACTTGAGGGTGACGCTTTCATTTGCTACTGAAGAAGATTTACTTGAGGGTGGCGCTTTCATATGGGGTGTGTTTGTATTTTGAAAAATTGTTACGTTTTGCGTGGACACATTTTTCAATCATTTTTTTACCTCACATATATTAAATTGCTATAACATTTTTTTTATAAAAAGTTCAAAAAAATACAATCCAAACTAAACCTTATTAGTACTTTGGGGAACTCTACGAGTGATATCAAAGCTATGATGAAGTATTCTACTTCAGTCGCGATTGCACGGGTGGATAAAAGGGCAAATAAATTTTCTTTTTCATAAATGAGGGATTTTGAATTTAAAATTTTTTATTTATAATTCATTCACCTTATCATTCAACTCAACTCTTTCCCAAAAGAGTAAATACAGTTGCTCACGATCTTGTAAAAAAGCCTAGTTTTTAACAAGTGAGACGGAGTTGGATGGCTGATCCACCTTACTTTGTAAGTTACCCCAGGCAGGCTGATTTTCAGTCTAGTCATTGATAATATTTCTTGTTTTCTCAAAAAAGAAAGAAAAAAAAAAAAAAAGATGAGTGCTAAAGATGGTGACCATCAGGTGCCAAGTTAGCAAGACACTTGTACCCCAAAAAAAGAAAAAGTAAATAACAATGAAGAAGGATCTGCCGACACTTTTAACATTTGGCAGTCCAAAAATTTAGTCAAAATCCATCAATCAATTAGAACGATCACTGCATTGGTTAAAGCCTCAGCTGGGTTCAGCTGATTGCTTTGTCAACTTATTTCGACCTGTAGAGCGAAGCTATGCAGAAGTAACATGTACCTTTATGTACAAAAACCTCAATGCAATAGGATTTTCATCTTTTATTTGGTCATTTGCGTTAGCAAAATAAACAAAACCTCGGAAAAATTAGGTCGAAATGGCCCAAATGGCATACACTCCATAAGTACTTCAAAGTTAGGAATCTGTCTTCATGCATTGGAAACTATTCAATCATTGTTTTACGATTTCAGGTGAAGAAAAATTCTTGTCGGCGCATTTTGTGCTGGCTAAACTTGTTCTGTTAACTTCTATCTTCCTTCTTCGGAGAGAATTCTATTGATGACTCAAATACTCGAGATACAAGTGGAGCCAACCTTAATTTGTATTGCAGGCAATATATTTCTATCAGCAGCATCTATATCCATCATATTATTAGTTGATTTTTTAACAGTGTTCTACGGTGTTTGACTTCTCCGGAGACACCACAAAACTTAATCAAAGCATCTTAAAGTTGGATGATGGCCTAGCAATTGTCCCAAAAAATCTACGGTTTAGATTCAACCAATAATACAAATTTTGAAAATATATGGTCATGGTCACGACACGTAATTCTGATCTAACTGACATGTACAACCCCACGTGAACAGTATAGTTGGTTATAACATGACTGTTACTAAGGCGTACAAATAGAAATAATCGTTAGTGGTGGCACATGCCCCCGCTACCCCCAAATAATCCTACTATTATCCAAGTAATTTTCAGAATTTTTTAGTTGTGCCCTATTATGCTCCATGCAATTATGAGAAATTTTCAATTATGCTGCTATTATGTTGTTTAGAAGTAAACGTAAATATAATTACTTTTATAACTCAATGAAAATGAAATGTTACACAATTCAAAACAATGGCTTCCTACATCAATAAAATGAATTTTGTTAATTTTTTCAACAAAAATAAAAATATAGAGTGGTTGTGATGCTTAGTTAAAATAAAGTAAGTCTAATTTTTTTCTAATAAAATGGAGGTGACTTTCTTAATAAAACAAGAAATTTTATGTTCTTACGTGATTTCATGTGATACCACTCATTAAATGAAGATTTTTATTTCGGTACGAAACAATTATTTTGCAAGCCTAATAATTACTCCAACGTCAATCAAAGAGTTTCACATGAACATACAAGGAACCCACTAAATAGATATGTCAATATTGTTGGTACGTACTGCTTTAAGTAAAGATAATGAAAAAATTTTGATAAGTATTAATTTTTGCCCCCACTAACGATTATTTCTGCCTCTGCTACTGATTGAAATGCCACCAACTTACAAGTTCTGGCTCTCGTATTCTTTGAAGTTATCAGCATCCATAAGAAAAGATTTCTGATGGGACTTACAGGGCACAGCCCACCATGTTGTGCAACACAAAATCAAAACAATCTCCACGTGATCCATTAATCCAAGAATTAGGTGTGCGATGACAAATTAATTTACTGCAATTCAACGTTCTACTTCTTTTTTCCCCCCCCGGGGTGGGGGGGGGGGGGGTTGCTCAAATAAGATTCTATGCTATTACGGGTTGAAATCTTTAATAATAAACTGCTATAATTCATTCATCTGTACAAGCAAAATTTATTATCTTCTGTTAGGTATCAATGAGTTCATGATCAAGAGTGTTGAAAGCAGTTTTATGTTAATCTTACTAAGAAGGGATGAACCTATGTGAGGCACGTTTACAGTTGCCGATGATTTTAATTGGTTGAGCAGTGCCATACCGACCATTTTTCCTAATGAATTACTGCAGGTGACTACTTACCACAATCATAAATTTTGTGACACACCAACGCTACTTCTCCCTTCATTCCTTTTGATTCATTTGGAGTTTTACTCTCCTCTGCAAATTTGGTTGGTTTGGGAGGTAGGAATAGGAAGCTTTGTTAGCTTACCAATAAAATTAGGCACAGGCCTGAGATAAGAACTACTTACTTCTTCCTTGCTTAAAACAAGTTTGGCATATACAACACAGCAATGCTACAGTAATACACAAATAAAAAATAAACTCAAAAACACTAAAAACAATCTCATCTACAGTAAAAGTTTTTCACTTACGTTGTTATAGTAAAATATTTTAAAAACACCCCAAAAACAACTAATTCAAACGGAACCATAGTTTTTGAAGCTTTTGAGCATTAAGTGGCATCCGCTTTACACTTTATAGTCTTTTAAGTGTATACCAATAACTAAACTAATCAGAAAAAACATATAACCATCAAGGGGAAAAAAAGACTGATTTTTTTTTTTTGTTGGTTCCTTCCTTCAAGAAAGAAGAACTTTTCCACCCCCTCATGATGGGGAACAAATTATCTTTCATTTCATGGGGCTTTTTTTGGGTCAAAAGTACATTTTCTGAGTTCAAGTTCGTTTGACTTCTTCTTCTTCTTTTCTTCTCTCTTTCCCCCTAAAAGTTAAATATCAGCCAAGATTGGTGGTAGGATTTTTATTGCATTAGATATTGAAAGTTATCAAATTTTTGGGGCTGAAATTTACAAAAAAAAAAAAGAAGGAAAATTTTTTTGGGGCTGAGCTGAAATTCGACTTCTTTGTTCATATTTCTGACTAACAATTTGTTTTCCAACTAGTCAGCGATTTCTAAAATGAGGTATTTTTTAAGTTTAAGCAGAACAGGCTCATCTGGGGACAGGCCTTCAAACTTAAACTTGGCCCACTTTGATACCTTTTTATTGGTCCACAAAGGCCCGCAATAGAGTCAAAAATCCATTTGTGGCATTCTTTTGAATCTTTGAGTTCCTCTTTGCAAATTGATTTCCAATTGCACTCCATTAAGAAGATATCTAGACAATGAAGCTCAGAAATTATATGAGTGCATAAGCGTGTCTCTAATAATCATAGTCGCGATCGTTTAAGAGTCTTTGTTAGAAATGATTGAAATGTGCGTAAGACGTGTTCATCAAAACCTAACTTACCTAGGGCTCTGTTTGGATTGTAAATTATTTGAGATATTTTTACTGTAGTACTTTTTGTGATGTAATGTATGTGAGATAAAAAGGTAATTGGAAAAATAAAAAAAGGTGTGTTGAAAATTGTAATGGTGATGTAAGCAAATAAATTTTGACAAATAATCCTCTATCCAAACAAACCCTAGTTTAACTAGATGACCGCATAATCGCTAATTCGATTTTCAATCTTTCTTTTTATCCCCTTCTTCTTTACAAGTGTTGAAGTATTCTTTTTTTTTTTTGTCAAAAGTGTTGAAGTATTCTCTCGAGCCAAAAGCATATAGTATAAAATGTCTGAATACAGTTGTATTGTCAACATTTCATGTGTCCTTGAAATAAACTTCGAGTCGAGAAGGTAAATTGATCATTTGAAGTATATTTACGTTTTAAAACACCACTTAAATTAAATGTTAAAGTAAAAAGTCATCTCATCTTTCTGCGCCCAACAAGAAACGCTTACCTGGGAAAAATAAAAATTTTCTAACAGAGTTGACAAGAAAACTATAAGTTGTCCATCAGCCACTTCTCTAGAGTCAAAGATAATTCCCAACACTTATCTATAAAGATATTCGGCCTCTTTCTCTAAGTCCGAAGTCCTATTTATATCCGCCACATAATTTGTAGATGAACATGCTGTTCTATTGCCGAGAAACTGAACCCCAAAAAAAACAAAAAAAAAAAAAAATCAGAAACATATGCTGGGAATATTTGGTTTATCTGGTTATCTTCCACCTCTGAAAGGTCCCTGCAATATCCTGAGCTCCATCATTCACATCCAACCAAGTGCACGTATGATACAACGATACAAGATGCTAGTGCTGATAAACGGCTTGACAGAAAATTGGCATTCTTTTTCAACTCGAAGGAATCTGATTTCGTCAGCCAGAGTACTTTTCCCTCAACTTTGCATTTGCGCCTACCTATTCATAAAGCTCTTCCTGTCGGAAAGAAAGAATCTTGTTGGGTTCAACATCTCAAAATAGGAGCAGCTTATCAATATCAGCCCATCATCTTTCTCAGGATATGTATATATAATTTGCTTCAGTGCCAATGTGCCATGTGGTCAGGGATTTATGTGGATTTGGTAGAGTCTCTTCTATTGGACAATTGACATTGGATTCTCCGTATAATAACTCAACAAGAACTCACCAAAAAGAAAGAGATATCTTGAATATTGACTATCCATTAATTTGCCACAACGAGATGAAATGAGAGTTAGTCTAAAGATTATGGTGGTCCTCAAATCTGGAAACGAATAGAATGTTTTAATAAAGATGCCGAATTCAGTTTTTACGTAAAGCTAGTTGAAAACAAAATTCTGACTTGCAACAAAGGTAGATTGGTCAACTCGCTTTAGTCTTTGCCCAAAAAAAATGCGTTAATAGTCAAATACAAACTGCGGAGCAACATTAGACGTTGAGCCTTTAAACATTAGAAGGTGAGAGAAGAAAAAAGAGGATTGGATAATCGAACTAAGAACATTAATGTATGAATTTTTTTTTTTTTTAAGCAATCGTTTCTTTATTTTACATATATCAAATGGCAACAGTACAATTTTTTTTTTTTTTTTACAAAAACTTCGGAAAATAGACGGATTTTAAGATTAATCAACTAATGTTCCTTATAGCTAATTAATCTGGGTCATTCAGACAAGAAAAGGTTTTGTACTCTCAAAAGCCTTCCTTTTGTTGTTCAAATTTAGTGGGCATGCAAATCAAAAAGGCAATTAACTACATGGGAATTAGAAGAACACCTTTGAAGCAGTGCAATGAAAAAAAAAATTCTACGGTACCTTCTCAAGTTTAAAAAAAGGAGTGACATGTCGGATTAAGGTGAAGAACTTGCCAAATTGGCAAGAAAAGCTGAAGAAAAACAGAAAAGCTGGCAAGGGTGTCCGCAGCTGTGACATGGAAGATTGGAGTAGAACCCAAGATAGAGATAGATGGTGCAGCAGGCAATGATTCACTTGACATAATTTTGACGACAGTTGGGGTTCTTCAAAGTTGAAACCTGAAAACAGAATGCTCAAATTCCTAAGAAGGAAGGACAATTAGCTGTTTCTTTTCTTTTCTGGCTTCTAAAGTGGTTTGTGTCTCCGAGGAGGGCCATTAGCTGTTTCCATTTTTCTAAACGAGGAATTGAGTGGGTTCCACCGGTTGCACGGCCTTCACCTTCTTTCCCGCCGGCTCGCCGCTCGCAAGTCGCAATTTCCATTGCATTTTTTGGTGTGCCAATTATCTTCTGACTTCTGAAGTTCAATTTTATTGATTGGATAATATCTCTTTCGCTACAAATTGTTTGTCACATTTCGAGATTCAACATTTTAAAAATATTTGTTTGACGGTGATATTGATGAGTTTATTTTTAAAATTACTTTCAAAAAATTAAATTTTAAATTTGAATTTAATATGAAATATATATAAAGAGGAGGATAACAATGCAAAAAAAAAAGTGATCAAAAGCAATTTTGATTTTAGTAAGATAACAAATATTTTTGGAACAATACTTTCATCATCCTAAATTGTAATTCACTTTCCAATTAAATACTAGTATGGTTAACTTTTACCTTCTTTGAAATGCCCGTATTTAATGTAAGTTGTTACTTAGTATAACCAAATTTATTTAATGAAGGTTGTTATTGAATGATGCAACTTTCCATCAATATTATTGCTGCAATTAATGTAAGCTAATTAGTCATACTCCATTTCACGTAAGGATATTAGTAAATTAACCAACTTTTCTTAAATTATGTGAAAATAAAAATCATATTATCAAAATAAGACGAAGAGAGTATAAATGAAAATTGCCAGATTTTTGTTTGAGATATGGTGACCAGGAGATTTATCAATTAAAGGAATGAGATACAAATAAGGAAGCATGGAGGAAATTTAATTTATGTTTTTAGTGATGCAAGAGTAAGCTCTGGAATGAGCTTATATTTATTTTTCTTTTTTAAAAAGAGATGGAATCATTTGTTTGACTAAAATGGGCTTCTTGAAAACTTTTAATTAGTTGTGACACTTTAACCAAAATCATAAGAGGGTTATATATAAGTTTTTAAATTATAAAGGAATTATATGGTGAAGTACTAAACTATAAGGGATAAAAGGTAATTTAGCCAATGTAGTTCATTCCCATGCAAATCAAAAAAGGATTGTGATTCTATTGATTGTTCGATTAGAGATAAACTTGAATAAAATGAGTAGATTTATCAGCGTATCAACTTGAATATATTGTCCAACACGTAATCAATGTAGGCCACCTACAAGAAACTAGAGCTTTGCAGATGCAATATGAGGCAAGGTTTCCACATTCGTGAACGAATAGCATAAATTTTCAATTTTTTTCCCTTAAGGATGATTTATGAATGTTGTGTGTATTTTATCAATTTCGATATATGAAAAAAAAGTGTTACTTGTCTTCCATCATGTATTAAAGCAGTCAGCAAATTGACAAATCAGCATGTCATCTATTAAGTTTGTTTTACTTCTAATTTAGCCAATTTAACTACACCCCTTAAACATGGAGTTCAAATTTTCATTATCTAAGTCTAAAAAACTTGATCAGGGTTCATTTTTATATCTATAGAAGATTCATTTGTAAAAAAAACTATTTTCTTTCCCTTCTCTCTATAACTCTTCCATTAAGATCTTTTTCATCTCTCTCATTGGAGAGAGACCAAATCTGGTCTTTCCCCGTGGAAAAAAGTACTTTTTATAGTTTTTAGTTTCTTTTATTCAAATAAAAAATCTCATAAGGTTTCCTAATGAGAGATTCTTCTCTCCTAAGATCTCCTAGTGAGAGTTTCTTCTCTCTTAGATTGTTCTAGTGAGAGTTTTATTTTCTTATGGGTTTTTTCTTGTGAGAATCTTTTAGGTTTCTATCTTTGTAAATTTGAGATTTTGTAGATCTAGAATCTAGTTTCTCAGATCTGCAATTTCTCTATTATTGTCATATTTAAATTTCTCTTTGAACTTGAATTAGTTTTAAATAGATCTGATTGTTAGCAGACATGCACCGATATATTGGACTATAGTGATACATTCGGATGAAAAATATATCGGATTTGTATTATTTTTTTAGATTTGTTATATTTATTGATTTCAGATTTATACGTATTTGTGTCATATTTATTTGATGTATTTTCTACAATTAATGCAGATTTGTTTGAATAAAATGATCTTTTCTATCAAAAAAATCTGAAAAACTTGATCGATTAAATTGTTTCTTAATGAAGAACCAGATTAAATAATGGAATTTGTTTTAAAACATACAATTTTCTAAACTTTTTATTCAGGTACCATTTGGATTGAGGGAATGAGATGGAAAGGAAAGGAGAGGAATTTGAGAGATTTAATTTTTATTGTTTGGATTGAGTTTTGAGAAGGGTAAGAAAAGGATGGGGAGGAAAATGATATAATTGTTTTATTGAGTTATGGTTTCTTTTCCTTTCATATTTAATCCAAATAAGATTGATAAAAACTAATTTTTCTCTATTTTCCTTTCATGTCTTTTACACTGGTATTCTTTCCTTTCCTCTCCCTTCCTTTCTTTCAATCCAAATGAGGCCTCAAATTATATAGGGGTCACATTCACTCAAAACTCCAAGATTACTTAAATAAACATGACATTACGTTATTGATTTTAAGTTAGCTAGATGGATGATTTCACCTTCGCACATAGAATTTGACTAGCAATTTCCAAAATATATGTCCTTTTCTGGCTATATTCTAATTCTTTTTGTTTCCCCCATGCTTGAATATAAAACACCTCTAATAATTTGACACGACTGCTCCTTGCCAATTTTACAAATCCCTCCTCCATAAGCGTTAAAACATGTTCGTCTTAATCTCCATTACCTCAGTTTTTTGCATGACCTCACACGCTTTTCCTCTCATCCCATGATCCATTATGTGTAATCAGCTGTAATTAACCAAAAGGGACCTAAACAATTATGTGAAATAAGTTCAGATTTATAGCTCTACGATGATAATAAGCAAGTAGCTTATTAGCTTGATTACTTTGTTTAAGTGGATGGACTAAGCGAATTTGGACAAACTACTTTTTCGTCAGCACCAGCACAGTTCTCTATCGTCTCATCCTCGAGTCAAATGCAAAATTAGTGGCCTATCTTATCCTAAGGATGAGAAAGAATTTGCCCAAAAAACAAAATTGATAAGACATAAAATTCAAGGCCCACCAATGTTTGTTTCCTGGGTTTGTTATTTACTCTTTTTGAGATTTGAATGCACACGTTTGGTAATGGAAGAAGGACAACAATTGGGCAACACTTTATCAAAAAATGGAAAAATGAATTGGACCAACAGTCCTAATATAGTAAATATTTTGCTAGCAGCCTGGCTGGTTAGCACTCTGCTATTTCAGGGAGAATTTTAAAACAAGGTACTCCAAAAAAAAGGGGAAAAAATAATAGGACGTTTGATTTGTGATCTTTTCTTATGTAATTTGGAGCAAGCAAAAGAATTTGTAATCTATCCTTAATTCTTCAAAAAAAAAAAAAGAAAAAAAGAAGAGGAATACAGACAAGAATGAGGAACCGGAAGACGGATATTTATGCAAGAGGGTGGTGGGCCTAAGAAATATTACTTTTCATGGAAATACTTGTACTAGTTCAAAACTGCAATAAAGAAATAATGAACATGTACTCAAAAAATCTGACTTTCTGGGGCCATAATGAACTGCAATAGAGTTATTGATCTATTGGTACTTATTTTCAAGAATATGGGACGCCGCGGGCGCTAATGTTGGTCTCCATGCCAGCCTGTTGAAAACAATAGATTAAAGTATTTGAGGATGAAGATGAATAAATGTTCAATATTAGTATAGTACTTTTTTTTCTTTTATACTCTTCCAATTACTATAATGTATGATGGCCCCTGTGATGAAAGTCAACCATAATTGGCTAAGATGTAGGTGCAAATGCAATGAATGTACACACTACTACTACTACTGATAGTGCGTACACTATTATGATTGAATGGGCAACATATAAATAAATTTTAAATTTTAAATTTAAATTCAAATGAATTATCATGCATCAACAGCGATAATGTACACAATAAAGATTAATCCATTAAATTATAAAAATTTTGAAGTCCAATGGAAATTAAAGCAATGGATACTGTCTTTTCTGATCAAGACATAAAAAAAAATCTTAAAAACAAAAGATCAATCGTGATTCCAACTCACTTTTTTTTGATGATTCAAACTCATAACCTCTCAATCAATCAATCGTAAAGTTTAAGCGTTTTACCGACTAGATAGCACTTCATCGTCAAAACTTACAACACACCTTGGTTAACCATTCTATAGCGTCCTATGACAGCTCTAGGAAAGCAAGTGTATTAATTGTGTTCCATGAATTCAAGAATCGCTAACCGCTTTAACTTGAAACTCTACTTTTCAAGATAATTTGCCTTTTTTCCAAAAACATCTATTAGCTACCAGCCTGTTAACACCACCATTATCTGGGAAGGTGTCATTTCATCTTGGGTAAATTATTAGTTGTTAAAGAGGCTTTCGCCTAGGTAAACTCTGTCCATTTCTGTCACAATCAAATACTTTGTAATTAACGGTGACTGTAATTTACAAGAATGTCATCATGTTGCATGATGAAATGAGTTGTCTAACGAGGTACTGGGACCATTATCCGTGGAAAAATAGCTTAGGCTCGAGAGTTGCTGTACTCGGTAAAAACTACAGGACAACAACTTTTGATCATCTGCTGGATGCAAATGAATTATCCCACTAGAAAATGGAATCAGTTTGTCCAAAACAAATGGTAATAAATAAATAAAACGTAGATATGCAGGAATCAGAGGGTTTTTCTTCAGTTCAGCTATGGCCTGCTTGAAAGTCTTGAAATCAACATTTTAGAAATTTTTGAAAGAATCCTTGAGTTTTTAGCCTTGTTAGACTCTTTGAACAAAACCCTTAAATGAAAAAAGAAGAAGAAGAAGAATTGACTTTCAAAGGATCTTCAAGTTATGCTAACGAACGGAATCTAATGTGAACAAATATTAGGAACGCCAGATGTCTTAAGGATTCCTTCTTGTTGAAAATAAAAACAATGAGTCCTAACTCCTAAGTTCTTTTATGTTGGACAGAATTTTCTTCAGCACTGGCATTA